AGGGCCCGCGCTCAACCTCCTTCTGCTGCCAACTTGTGTGAGGCTATAAAAGGGGAGGCAGCCGGGGTTCGACAGGAAACTTAAATATCAAGTGGGTGACATGTGTTTTGGTATTCATAAATGAAATAAGCAGGACTGGACTCTTGGGTCAGGGCAGAGTTAACTCTAGAGTCCCCTCCCCTGAAGGACAGGGGCCTCTTTAGCCAGAGATACGAGCGGCGATAATCCGCTTTGTACTGCCTGACGCTTCCACCTCCTGCCGGTCGGCCTCCACTAAAATTAGATTATTACACCTAAAACGGAGCTCCTGGAATCTGCTCCGTGTGCAATCACACACACACACATGCGTTGCGACTGGCGGAAAGGCGTTTTGGAAATACAGGCCACATACTTAGCCTCTGTCTGTCTCTCCCTCTTGTCAGCCAGTGTTGTATTTCTGAGGCTGAGGACAATTGCAAATTAACAAAGGTGTCAGTGTTGTAACATGTGCCAACAGGTGTCTGCTGCAAAAACAAGGGCTAACAGAGCCCAAATAACTGATCAGCTTCATGCTGCTCTTCTGTCCTGCAGTGAAGGATCATGGGAAGTTTACCTGGTGCCCATTAGCTTGCCATAAACGTCAAGTTGGTTTAAATCAGAGTCTTTTGCTGCAGAGCCCAATCTCACTCTGAAACCTGTCTGTGTCTGTGTCTGTGTCTGTGTCTGTGTCCGTGTCTTGCTGCGTTCATGGCTGGACGAAGCTGCTGCCCATGACGAGGAATGTTAAAATGTGTGAGAGGGGCCAAATCCAGCTCATCTGCTCACCAGAACAGTCCCAGACCCATGACAGGCCCACGGCTGCAAAGTGTGAACCGAGCAGAGCGAGTTCACAGGTACAAAATAGACAGGGAAAAAAGTTGGGGGTTTTTTTTTGTTTGTTTTTGTAGCAACTATAATTAAAATGACAGCAGTTTGGTGACAGAGTAAAACAGTGACCAGGGACTGGACAACAATCGTAAACATCTTGAAAAGTTGAAATATTCTACAGTTTATTCTTAGTGTCTTAACGCAAACGTTTTGGATTTTTATTATTCAAGAAATGAATAAAACCTGGTTGAAAAGCTAGAAAACTAATGCAAGTACAAGTAGCAATATTCCATGTTGTTTGGTTGATTTCGAGGTGATACAGATATTAAATCTAGCTTAGGTTCATTATTTGTTCAGAAAAATTTAGAATTAATTAAATTAAATTGAGTTTTAAGATTCAATAATTAATTTTGCATATTTCCTTGGACATTTTTTATTCATGAGTTGTGAGTTCTTTCCTGGCTTTCATTTTACTGTTACTTTTACAGTTACTTTCTCCATTTAGGGCTATGTCGTGGCTAACTGTCGTTACACCTAACTTTTCGGGCTATGTTGTGGCTAACTGTCGTTACACCTAACTTTATTTGTATTTAGCTCATGATTAATTTTCGTATATATTTACTTAATATTTATGCTGTTTTGTTTCCCTTGTTTTTAATCATCTTCACTGACTCTGCTTTTTTATCTTTTTGATATATCTTATTAAACTAGATAGATAACTGAGCAGATTGCAGTCTAATCTTAGTTATTTTTTAGCACATTTAAATCACTCTGAAGCTATTTTTCTATCGTTGTATCCAAAGCTACTGTACATGTTAGCCAAAATATATCTACAGAATTTTATTAATGTGTAGCTTGGTTTTTTTTAAATTAATTTTGTGTGACTAACTTTAGTGTTTTTTGTGATAAAACCTGGCTTAATAAAGTAAAATGTTTTATTTGAATTAAGGCCTAATACATTTTTGTGTGTTTTAGACACTGACATGCATTGGAATTAAAAGTGTATACATTTTCCTTGCATTATTTTCAGTGTTATTATCTAAAATAAATGGGTTAATTTGTAGTCATTTGTACCTCTGTAGGAAACTCGGTGATAGTTTTAACTATCACAGAAGGAGCCGTTGGCCTTTGGGTATTTATATGTCATGAAAAAGTTTGGACACCTGCTGTGAGACACTAAATTACAGTAAAAGACAGTACTTGTTACAAATACCTAGAATCAAACATCATAAACGCTGTCATTTTCTTCCCCTCCTGACATTTATCACTTCTAATCCTCCAGCTTCGCCAGACGCTTTAATTGTATTTAATTGCGCTTTGCTAAAGTGAAGAATGAGTGAAGGTTTATCTTAGAAAATGAATACAGAGCTCCTCCAGCTTGAACATGAG